ATAGGTTTGTGTTATTATTTTGAGATGTGTTTTGTAATTGACCATTTACATTTTCTGGTTTTTTGTCAATACTAAAAAAGTTTGAATTTCCAAAATTTGTGTTGTTTGTTTGACTAGTTCCAAGACCAAAATTAGTTGTTGGTCCTTGAATATTTGAAGAAGGTGCCTGTTGAATATTTGGAAGTTCAATCATACCTGGATTAGATTGATTAAAAGAAGGAGTAGTTTTTTCATTTGTTCCAAAATCTCCAAAAACAAATGCAGGTGGTGTGACTTGTTTTTGAGGTTCTAAACCAGGTTCATTTTGGACTTTCAAATTAGGTGTTTGCATTACTGTTGTATTGGAACCTTTTGCAGAATTTTCTGTTGAAACAATTGAACTGTTTGTTGTTTGTGTGTTTGTTGCTGATTTGTTGTTATTAACACCAAAACTAAATAAAGAACTTCCTAGTGGTTGGTTATTTGTTGCAGTAGATGAATTGAATGCAGCAAATGGATCAACACTTGTTTTATCATTTGAAGTATTAAGTGAAAAATCTGTAGTGGCAAAAGTGTTATTATTAGTTTTTGATTGTTCAGAACTTTTTGTTGTTGTAGTAGTTTTTGATTGGTTAGTATTTAGAGTTGGAGCAGTTGTAGAATTATCTGATTTATTATTATCTGAATTTACTGTAGTTGGTTTTGATTGATCATTACTTGTATTTATTAGTTTGTCGAAAGTTGGTGCTGGTGTAGTTGATGTAATAGTTTTTGATTGGTCAGTTAATGAAGTACTATTAATTAATGTATCTTTTTGTTTATCAGTTGAAATACCAAATGAGAACCCATTAAGAGAAAATGGATTAGATAATGGGGTCTCTATATTTGTATTTGATTCTTTTGGTTTTTCTGTTGAAGATTCTTGAGTTAAATTAGATTTAGGTTTTTCATTTAATAAACCAAATGAAGTCCCACCAAGAGAAAATGGGCTGTTCGTTAATTTGTCAGGGTTTGTAGTTGCTGGTTGTGTAGATAAATTTGTTGTACTTTTTTCAGTAGGTGTTTTAAATGATAATTCTTGAATAGAAAACATATTACTTCCTGATTTATCTGTAGTACTAGGTGTTGTTTCAGAAAGGTTATTTTGTGTTGTTTTTTGTTGATCATTATTTTTATTGATTGAGACATTGGTATTAGGGTTTTGTTTATCATCTGATATATTAAATGAAAAATTAGTATTTGAAAACATATTAGTATTTGTCTGTTCAACAGTTGTACTTGTAGTTTTATCTGTGTTTGTAGTTAATGTAGTTGTAGTTTGCTTTTCTGTATTTGTTTCTGTACTTTTTGGTTTATCACTTAATGAAGTCTTACCAGTAAATGTATCTTTTTGCTTCTCTGTTGAGTTACTAAATGAAAATCCATTGAGAGAGAAGGGTGGTGGTGCATCTAATGGTTTTTCTGTTAAACCAGAAAAATTAACTTCTGGTTTTTTTTCCTCTGGGAGGGTTGTACCTATTGGCTGAGTAGTACTCTTTTTAGTATCACTAGCAGTGTCACCAAAGAGTGAAAATGAAGGACTTGGTTTTATATCAAAAGAAGAGCTTTTGGGTTCTTCTGTAGTATTAGACTGTTTATCTATCTTAAAACCAAGATCCAATTGGTTTGCTTGGTCTGTTTTCTTTTGAGATAAACTAGAATCTAATGGTAAAGTAAATGAAAGAGAAGAGTTTTTAGTATTAGAATCTAAATGATGAAGTTGTTCTTTGACAGTTTTGTTTGAATCATTGATATCAAAGGATAAAAGATTATCACCTTTCTCATTAACAGATCTTAAAGAATTATTTAAATCTACTACTTTCTTTTGTGGAGAAGAAACTTTAAAGGTTCTCTTAAGAGGTTTTTTAAATTTTTTTCTTTCTTCATTTTGTTCCTCATCTTTTTTTGTTTTATCTTTCTTTCCTAATGGAACTAATTCTTCTTCCTCAGAAGAAGAACTTAGTAATAATGAACTAATACTTGCTTTAAGAACTTTTTCGTCATTTGTATTTGAATTGAGGTGATTAAATCCTTTAACACTGTCCTTGTTCATTAAACGTTCTTTCCTATCATTTAAACATTGAACAATATCTTCAAAATTTATTTCACGTAACTTAGCAATTGTTTGTCTAATTCTTGCAGAGTCAGTATCAGGTTTACGTTCAACAACCTTCTTTGTTGTTTTATCTTCTGTTTTTGTAGAAACCTCTTCTACTTTTCGTTTAGTAACTTCTTTTGGTCGTTCAAATTGTTCTTCTGGTTTTTCTCTTAAGAGAGTTCCTGCGTCTTGTCTTTTCAATGTACTGTCACTGTTTTGAGTCTGTACAACAGGTTGTTCAGCATATTGTTCTTTTAATTTTTCCAACCGACGATCAAAAGCGATACCAAATAACAATGATGTTTCTTGTTTGGGGATGCTAGAAATTCCTTGTGATAACGAAGATGAAAGTGGAAGAGTTGCCGTGCGATGAATTCCTTGGGTTGGTCTTGAGTTAGGACAAAAATAACCGGCAATATTCTGAACGAAGTCACTAAAATAATTAGTAGTACTAAGATCTTGCCTCTTCATTTGAATTACTCAGTTTAAAATTTTTTTATTTTTTTATTTTTTTTAAGGGTTTATGAAAAAGGTTTAATCAAAAAAATGAGAATTATATAATAATCATATGAATTCATTGCTCCTTTGCTTATTATTTTGTCTTTTTTGAATATTCATTCATTCTGCTTTTATACAAACTCTTTCAGTTACAAAAGAAATAACTTGTTTCATTATTGAACTTCATTTTTTTATTAAATCTTTAAATACAAAAAGTGCTTTTCTAAAGTTTAATTACTCATAATGTTTAATCAAAAAACATCCGAACGACTAAAGAAATTAATTCATTAAATTAATGAATCAAATTATTTAATAGGTACATTACTTTAACATTATCACAATTAAATAAAATAGAATTAATGTAGTAAAATAATACAGTTTTATTAAAATGAAGAGCTTATTAATTTTCTATATAATTTAAATTGAGATATTATCAATTGAGATGATTAAAAGAATTAGAAATATAATTTGGACAATAGTAGAGTTAATAGAAAGTGTATAGTTAATGTTCTAAAGCATCTTTAATGTCAGATGTATATTGGTCATAGGCATGATTAACATGTTCATTAAATTTTTTATTATTTGAATTAATATAATCTTTTTGGAATGATTTTTCTTTTCGTTCTCTATGAAACTTTTGAGCTTCTTTTTTGCCTCGAGCAAGTTGTTTTTGTAAACAATCAATTCTTTCAGGAGAAACATATCCACTTTGTATCTTTTGACGAAGCTCATCATTTTGTTTATATTGTTGATAACTTTTTTGAGTATCTTTTTGATTTAGCCAATGAATCTTTTTTTCATAAGCAGAATAGGCTTGTTTAGCTAAATCCCTATTTTGGTCTTTGATATCTTTTTTATGTTTAAAAGTATTTGCAGGAACATCCATCCATGAGTCAGAACTTTCTTTCATTGGGAGTTTAGGTTTTTTATGGTCGACTTTTTGGTTGTCCATTTCATGTTTATAATCAATCTCAATCATTTCATCAAGGCTTTTTAATTTTGATGACATTTGAATTATGTTATTAATTTTGTTATTAAAAGTTTTTAAAATGAGTGAAAAAACCCTTATTATTTTTCATAAAAGAGAGAGTAACAAAAGAGAAAAGAAATAAGGAAGAATAAAAACAGAGAAAAAATAAGGAAGAAAGAAGAAAAAAAGAATGGAAAAAAAATTAGGGTTAAATATATCTCAACTAAAATCACAAGAAAGTAGTGAATGTCATCAGTTGAGCTAAGAAAAACTTTTCAAGAAACACCAGTTGAAATTACATCAACTGGATTTGATTTTTATTCAGCTGATGAAATACGACATATGAGTGTAAAAGAAATTACAAAAGGAACATCATTTGATTTATTAGGAAATCAAGAATTAGAAGGACTGTATGATCCAGCACTTGGAGTTTTTGGGAAAAATACTATATGTCCAACATGTGGACTTACTGAAGAAGGATGTCCAGGACATTTTGGACATTTTGAACTTGAAGAACCATTATATCAACCGTTATTATTACCAGAATTAGTAAAATTATTAAGATCTATTTGTATGAAATGTCATTCATTAAAAGCATCAAAACAAGTAATACTTGGAGCAGCAATTGAACTTGAACGATTATCAAAAAATGATATTGAAGGAGCGATGGATATTCATGGATTAGTTAAAGAAGCACAATATATACAAAGGAAAGCAAATGCATCAAGAGGAAAATTAAAAAGAGAACAAGTTGAAGATGAAGAGAATTTAACAGTTGAACGAGAAGTAGATAAAGAATTAGAAAGAATATTTAAAAAAGAATGTGGAAAAGGAATTAAGAAAGATATAAGTTTTATTCATACAGATACACATTGTAAAGCAGTTAAAAATGAACTTATTGCACATATGGTAGCATTAAAAGATAAACCATGTCCATATTGTAAAACAGTATCACCAAAAATAGTATTAAATGATTCAAAAACAGGATTTGTATTTTATGGAGAAAATACAGATGCAGCTAAAAATCGAAGTGAACATAAATATGAAACAACGCCATCATATATAATGAATATTCTTAAAGAAGCATGGGAACATAATGATATACAAAATGAAGTATTAAGTAGAATGTATTATAGTCAAATGAGAGGAGGAGAAAAGTTAGATATTATTATACCAAGTTATCATATATTTTTTGTAGAAGTTCTTCCAATTCCACCAAGTAGATTTAGACAATTAAATAAATTTGGAGAATTAATTAGTGATCATCCACAGAGTATTTATTATAGAACAATTATTGAATCAAGTAATACATTAAAAGTAAGAAGAGAAGGAACAAGAATAGATTATTCAGAAAGATTTTTAATAGATCAAATGCAAAAAGCATATAATTTATTAATTCTTACAGGAAATGCAGAAGAAGGAATATCAATGAAAAGTATTTTAGAACATAAAAAAGGATTATTTAGAAATAATATGATGGGAAAAAGAGTTAATTATGCAGCACGTACAGTTATTTCACCAGATCCATTTCTTCCAACAAATACAATTGGAATGCCACTTCCATTTGCTATGAGATTAACAATTGCAGTACCAGTAAATGAAAGAAATTATGAAGAAATGAAACAAGCAGTTATTAATGGACCACAAGTATGGCCAGGAGCATTATATATTGAAAATGAATGGGGACATAAAATTGTATTATTAGATGATAGTAATCCATATAATAAAACAAAAAGACAAGGAGAAGCAGAAAGATTACTTGTTATTGATCCAAAAGCACCAAGAAGTTTTAAAACAGTATTTAGACATGTTATTGATAATGATATGGTATTATCAAATAGACAACCAACATTACATAAACCAGGAATTATGGGACATTATGTTAAAGTATTAAAAATTGAAAAAACAATTCGTATGCATTATGCTAATTGTAATACATTTAATGCAGATTTTGATGGAGATGAAATGAATTTACATCTTCCACAAAGTATGGAAGCAAGAAGTGAAGTAATGAATATTGCATTATCAGATGAGCAATATGTTGTTCCAAAGAATGGACAACCATTAAGAGGACTTATTCAAGATCATGTTATTTCATCATTTATGTTAACAAAAAGAGATACATTCTTTAATAAAGAAGAATATTGTCAAATTATTTATACAGCATTATATGGAATATATGAACAATATTCTATTAGAATTCCAAAACCAGCTATTCTTAAACCAATACCAAAATGGACAGGAAAACAAGTTATAACAGGAATTTTAATGCATATTAGTACAAATCATTGTACAATTAATTTTGAAGGAAAATGTAAAATATCAACAAATGAAATTAATAGAGGAGGATATCAAACAAAAAAAGAAATAGAAATGATGAAACAAAAAGATGAATTTACAGAGAAATGGAATGGTGCTAATGATAGTTTATGTATTATTAAAGAATCACAAATGTTAACAGGAACATTAGATAAAAATCAAATTGGAGCAACAAATCAAAGTTTAATTCATGCAATTTATGAATTATATAATGGTAAAGTTGCAGGAATGTGTCTTACATTATTATCAAGATTATTAACAACATATTTACAAAGAATTGGACATACATGTTCATTAGATGATTGTATGTTAAAACCAGAATTTGATAATAAAAGAACAGAAATGTTAAATAAAACAAATGAATTAGCACGTATTGCTACAGCAAAACATTTTAAATTAGAAGGACATTCTAAATATGATATTGATCTTGCACTTGCTAATGCTAGAAGAAGACCACAACTTTCTAAAGAACTTGATGATTCAGTTAAAAATGAAGTTAATGAATGTACATCAAATGTAATTAAAGAATGTATTCCATATGGACAATTAAGAGCATTTCCATGGAATAGTCTTGCATTAATGACAACAACAGGAGCAAAAGGATCAAAAGTTAATCATTCACAAATTACATGTTTACTTGGACAACAAGAATTAGAAGGAAGAAGAGTACCAGTTATGGCAACAGGTAAAACATTACCATCATTTCCACGATATGATACATCAGCAAGAGCAGGAGGATTTATTGCATCAAGATTCCTTACAGGAGTTCCACCACAAGAATTCTTTTTCCATTGTATGGCAGGAAGAGAAGGATTAATTGATACAGCAGTTAAAACAGCAAGTTCAGGATATCTTCAAAGATGTGTAATTAAAATGTTAGAATCATTACATGTAGAATATGATTATTCAGTAAGAGAATCAGATGGATCAATTATAGAATTTATGTATGGAGATGATGGAATTGATGTAATGAAAAGTGGATTTCTTAATAATATTGATTTTTGGGCAAATAATTATGATGCATTAGTTTCAAAATATGAAACAAAAACTATTCTTTCAAAATTTAAAAAAGGATTTTCAAGAGCATGTAAATTACAAAAAAAATGTTTAAGACATCCAGAACAATATGAACCAGTTCAAAGTATTTATTCACCAAGTAATAATCTTGCAGCTGTAAGTGAAAAATATTATAAATTAATTAATGATTATATTAAAGAAGATAAAAGAGGAGAATTTAAAAGTGGTAAACTTGATCCAGAAACATTTAAAGTTATGATGATGTTAAAATATAATAAATCATTAATTAATCCTGGAGAACCTGTTGGTGTTTTAGCAGGTCAATCTATTGGAGAACCATCAACACAAATGACATTAAATACATTCCATTTAGCAGGAAGAGGAGATGTTAATGTTACATTAGGTATGCCTCGTATTAAAGAGTTAGTAATGTTTGCTAAAAAAGAAATTGCTACACCATCAATGATTCTTTATTTAAAAGAACCAAATCAAAAAAATACTGAAAAATTAGCTAAATTATTAACTAAAGTTACATTAGCAAATATTATTGAAGGAATTAAATGTTTAGATTCTATTATTGTTCACGAAGGACAAAGAAAAAGACAATATACTATTGATCTTACACTTATTGATAAATATGAAGAAATTGTTGATTTTAATACTTCAGATATTACTAAAAAAGTTAATTCTGTTTTAATGAATGAAATTACAAAAAGACAACAAAATAAAGTTGGTATTGATATTGATTATAAAGGTGTTAGTGGAGAAGAAGCTGAAGAAAAAGTTAAAGAAGAAGATGAAGATGTTCAAGAAAAAATTAATAAAGGTAAAGTTATTGAAGAAGAAGTATTTGAAGAAGAGAAAAATGAAATGAGTGAAGAAGAAGAAGTAGAAAAAGAAGAAAAGAATTCATCATCATCTGAAGAAGAAGAAGAAAAAGAAGAAAAGAATTTATCAGAAGAAAAAGAAGAGAAAAAAGGAAAATCAAAAATTATAGAAAAAGAAGAAAAAGTAAAAAAACAACATCTTATTGTGAGTGTATTACTTAATGTTAATGATAAAGTATCAATGGTATCTGTTGTAGAAAAAGTGATTGAAAAGATTGTTTTATATGAATGTCCAAATATTGTTAGAGGTATTCCTTTAAGTAAAAAGAAAGAAGGACGTACTATATATTATGTTATGACTGAAGGAGTTAATTTTAGAGCTGTTCTTCAATTTGGTAATTTAGTTGATGTTGATTCAGTTGAAACAAATGATGTTTATGCTGTCTTAAATATGTATGGTGTTGAAGCTGCACGTACTGTTCTTATTCATGAAATTGATTCTGTATTTAAGGCATATGGTATTGATGTTGATCCAAGACATTTGAATCTTGTTGCAGATTATATGACTTATGAAGGAGAATATAAATCATTGAATAGATCTGGTATGGATCATAATCCATCTCCATTCACTAAAATCACATTTGAAACATCACTTGGATTCTTAGCTAAAACATGTGTTTCAGGTCAAAAAGATAATTTAAAAAGTCCATCAGGATCAGTTGTAATGGGTAAAAATATGGTATTTGGAACAGGTGCATTTGATATTTACACTGAATTAACTGATGAATAAAGAAGAATTGATTGATTTTTTTTGAAAATAAAAAATATTTATTTTATATTTAAATTATTAAATAAAATATAAATAAAAATAATTTCATTTAAAAATATTAAATTATTTTAATGTTAAATGTAAACGAAATAATAATTATAAACAATTTGCATACAAATATAAAAAGACAATAAACAAATTTACTTTGTTCATTGTCCTTCAATAATTGGTTCAAGATCCATCGTTGTATCAGAACAATTGACTGAAGAACATGCATAAAATGGAGATATTTTACTATAATCATTATCTTCAATACTATCTTCATTATAAGTAAAATGAAATGAATCAATTGATTGAAGATAATCATCAATAACATAATTCATTTGATTAATAGTTTCTACTGCTTCTTTAAAATATTTAGGTGTTTCACAAATTCTTTCTTTAACAATTTCAAAATCTTCTTGTTGTTCTTCTAATAATGAAAACAATGAATTTGAGTCTGTTATAATTAATGGTTTTGAAAATAATGGTTTATTCATTAATTGTCTTTTTAGTATTTCAAGTTCCTTTGTATTTACTTGTGAATATTACCAGGGGTTGTATTATTTGAATAGGGGTCAGACTTCAATTTAAAAAATACTCCTTATTTTGGTTGTTTATTTTTAAGTTCTAGTTCATTTTCTTCCATAGTTATTTTTTGGTATCTTTTTTTTTTGTTTTTTTCCTGTTATGTTAAAATATAAGTTGGTTGTTACACAATTTTTAATGACACCATTGTTTTTTTGATATTTTTTCTTTAGAAAATTATATATAATAGTTCTTGTAACATTTTCTTTTCTTGAATCGATGAAATCTGAATATTCTTCTGAATTATTCATTCATTTTCTCTTCTTTTTAAGTTGGTTATTATTTCAAATACTTTCTTCAATAACATTTAACTATTTAACCAAGAAATCGTTAAAAAATATTATACTCATTTAAAATACTTCCTTTTTAATTTTTAATAAAGAAAATGTTCATTCTTTAATACATTCTTTCTGTTCCATTAAAATTTAATTTCGATAAATAACTTTGAAAGACCTCTCTTTTAATCAAGAACAAAATTAAGAATAAGTATGTACAACAATGTTTATTTGTATTGTTATTTTATTCAATAAGTTTGTATGAAATTAATCCTGATAAAACAATCTCTTGAATTAAAAAGAAAATTTGGTCATAGTTAATTTGGTTATTCTTAATTAAATTGTCAAGTCAATGTATTATTATTTGTGAAATGATACACTGTATTTCTTTTTTCGTTCTTTATGACATCCTAAAAACTGTCATTGTATTTTTATTAGAGGGTAGTTTTATTATTTTAATCTTAAACATTTGTCGAACATTAAAATCATGTGTTTTATTTTTTTAATTGAACTTGATATTTTTGGATTAATTTTTAACTGGTATTTGGTATTTTAACCTTATCTATCAACTAAGTACTACAACTACTTCCTTGTCAAGAAAAACTAAAAAAGAATGTCCTCTGTGACTAAAAGTAATTTTTCAATTTACGATGTTTCTTTAAAACCTCGGTTGTCGGTTCAATAGAATTACTTATAGCAACAATTTATTTTATGAAATTACATGAATGAAAACAATTTAAAATAGGTGTGTTTCTCACAACTTACATTAACTGTCTTTATTTATCAAGTCAACGTTCTGAGTGTGTGTATCAAGAACATTGAGAAGGTTATATGGTTTAAGAAGATGTTTCAATTAATTTATTCATTTTAATGGTTGAATGACAAAAGACTTGTTGTATTATTAAATAGGTTACATAGAGAAGTACATTAAATATATTAAAACAATTATAAATTAGATTGTTTGAAATTAATGAAGAAAAATAATACTTTATCAATACGTTTCTGAGACAACGAGAAGTTATTTAGTCTATTAAAAATTCAATAGTTTCATGGCACATTTATAACAATAAGACAGTACTATAGTATTGTAGTTCAAATTGTATAAAAATAACATATTTAACTCATAAAAGTATAAATTATTGTTTAAGTATAAATAAAAGTTAAATACTGTTTACTAAATACAATGAAAGAAATTTGTATTATAATGCAATACAATGAGCAGTACATTTCATAATAGAAATAATTAGAAACAATAATTATTAAAGAGAGAAATATGTAGATTATTGAATAAAAGTATTGTTTAAAAGTTTCTGGTATTAATTACAAACTAAAAGAAGAATGAGAACTTATTAAACAAAAGAATAAAAAAAGAATAGACGTTGTGAACTGTTATTTGAGTAATGATGATAAGAAATAATAAAAATTATAAAACACTTCCACTTCATAAATGATGAACTATATATTTTTAATATCTTTTTGTTCAATTATTCTTTGCTCATTCTCTTTAATAATTTGAAACTAGAAAGTTCATGTTTATACCAGTCTTTTTAATTTTAGAATAGAAGTTATTTAACCAACCAATACTATCATTTGTTTTATTATAGAATTTGATTGACACTTTTATTTAAAGAACAAAAAGAATGGTTAATTCAATGTCATAGAATTGATTCTTATTATTTGGTAATGGTCAACAACATATTTTCAGAGTTATGATTTACTTGGTTTAACAATGCACTATTCGGGAAACGTTCAAATACAAGTTTCTTAATTTCAAAGAAGTTAAATTCTAATCCAAAATATTTAATGAGCACTTACACCTTTATTTGATTTCTGTTAAAAATAAACAATAATCCATCTATTAGCACTGAAAATTATGTAAACAACAATAAAATGAGAGGTTGTATTTGTGTAACATAATAAACAGATGACACCTTTAATTAACTTAAATAGCAAAGTACTAGTTTAGCTATTCCTTACATTTTAATAAGAAGTAAAATGATAAAAACAATTCAATGATTATTAATTCAATATTTTTAATAAAGACCTAATTAGAACCTTATAGAAAAATAAGTGATTAATACTATTCATTGGTATAAGGATGTTCATCGATAGAATAAATCATTTCAAAAAGGAAATAGTTATAAAAGGAAGATTTGTTTAAGTTTCACACTAACAGTTGGAAAGATTAACTCAAATAAAGACAAGAAGATGAGCACCATAGGGATGTTAGGTGGCATTGTATTTATCTAAAAAGATATCAGTAATACCTTTCGATATTGAGTTGAATATTTTTCTGATCTCTTTTTCTAATTTATTTTCAATCTTTTATTTATAGAAACATTAACATTTAATTAACATTTACATTTTTTAATTCAACTCGTTTGTATTAATAGTGTTTCACTATTAGGAAAATAATAAGGACAATTTATGCGAATTAATTGAATATTACTTGGAACTGACATACTGATTATTTAAAAATTGTACTATTAAATTTAAGAACTTTAGAAGGTAATTTGATTAATGAGAGGTTGTTCTATTTTTATGTTTTAATTAAAAACAATTACACATATCAGCTCCAGTGATTATTAATATTTTTAAAATTTGAATAATATTTAATAATAGTTAAACGTTTTGGATTAAAGAATTAAATTAACACATCATCTTGTTAATAAAATCTATGGCATGATATTTTGTAACATTCTGAATTTATTTCATTATAAAAGAATATGATTTTTAATATGATACGTGAATCCTAAATTTACAAATAAAAAATTTGAAGTTTATTTGAATAATTATTTCTTAGTCTGTGTTTTGGTAATTTTACATTTTATTGTAATTTTTATGAATGGTTTTGTTTATTCCACTTACTTTTTATTGATACTACCATTTTTTTTTTGATTATATTTTTGTTAATCTTCGTTTGTTGGGTGTTATTATTATTATTTGAAGGTGTCTCTAGGAGAGAGGCATTAAAGATAAAAGGAAGGGAAAGTGGAGATAGATATAATAATAAAGAGAAGAGAAAAGGAGATAATGTTTTAAAGAAACAAATAAAGGAAGTGTGGAGATGAAATAAAGAAGAACAATGCATTAATAAATAAGAGAAGTCACAGAGAGAAAGAAGAGTATAAAAGGAATAAACAGAAGAGAGATTAAAAAGAAATTGAAAAAATAACACAAAACATTTAGAAGATAAGAAAGTGGGAAGAGAATCAAAAAAGTTAATTAGATAAAGAAGATTCAGATGGAGAAGAAGTATCAGGAATCGAATTTATAACAACAGGAGAAAGAAGATGACGATTAGAAGCAACTCTATCACTCATCACTTCAAATTGGATTGGAGTAGCTCTATTAGATGTATCAGCAAGATTAATTTCTAAATCAGGATTTAAATCAGTTTGAAGAGGTGATTTAGTTGATGATAAAGCAGAAGTACACATGACAATCTTTTTCTTAGCAACTCTCTTTAGTTCATCAGCACAACCTGATTGTTGGACAAGATGATTAAAGATAGTATTTTCGTTATCAATTAAATGAGAAGGAGAATCATTTTCTACTAATTTCCCTTTATCAAATACAAACACTTTATTAGCATCCATAATACTTTGTAATCGATGTGCAATAGTAATTACTGTACATTCATTGAAGTTCTTTCTAACCATTTCTTGAATTGTTTTATCAGTTTGAATATCAATATTGGCAGTAGCTTCATCCATAATCAAAATTTTTGACTTTTTCAATAAGGCTCTTGCTAAACATATAATTTGACGCTGTCCAAGAGAAAAGTTATCACCATTTTCCAATACAACATCATCAAGTTCATTTACACTATTTACTAACTTAAGAACACGTTTCATTTCTTCATCTGAAGCTTGTTTTGTTGGGTCAAGATTTTCTCTTACTGTACCACTAAACATAGTAGCTTCTTGAGGTAAAATACACATTCTATTTCTCAACGTATGTAATGGTACTCTAGTAATATCAATTCCATCAACAAGAATTCTTCCACCTGCTGGTTCTTCAATTCTAAATAACCCAGCCATTAATGTTGATTTACCACTTCCAGTTCTACCAACAACACCAATTTTTTCCTTATCTTCTATTAATGCATTTATTCCATTGAGAACTAATGGCAATCCTCTTCTATATCTAAATTTATAATCTTCAAATTTGATTTCTCCTTTTGAAGGCCATTCATTTGGAGGTTGTTCATAATTCTCTTTCACACTTTCTGATTCTTCATTTCTTAATTTATTTATTAATAAAACTCTTTCTGTTGATTGCATTATAGTTTCGATTTCAATTAAACTCATTGCAAAATTAGTAATAGCAGTTGGAATATTAGTGATATTTGTTAAAGCAGTACCTGCTGTAGAAGCGTCCATTGAAGCTTTTAATTTTGTTATAACAATTACAATAACAGTGATAATAGAAATGGCAGCACCAATCCAATCCATTCTTTGAAGGTACCAATATTTTGCCATCTTACAGGTATAGAGAGCCATAGCATTATTCTTAATTTTATCAATTAACTTATTTTTGAATTCGTTTTGACCATTAGAGATTCTTATTGTTGATAGTCCCAGTAAAGTTTGGTCAAAATGAACGAAGATAGGAGATCTTGAAACTCCTTCAAGTCTCTGCATTTCAATGACTGGTTTTACTGTGAAAATATAAAATGCTATAAAGACTGCAGCTATCACAAGAGCAAAAATAACTAAATAGATGCTAGCTTTAGTAATTGTAATGACTGTAATGACAATAGTTGATATATTAGATAATAAGGGTTCAATATAATAAGGTAAACTAAAATCAATCTGATGGAAATCTCTTGAGAAGTAATTAAGAACTCTTCCCATTGGAGTAACATCGAAGAATCCTAGTTTTGCTTTTAATAATTTATGAATTAAATTCTTATGGAGATTTCTTGATACATTTACACAGAAGAAAATTATAAACAATTCTGTTGCATAAACACCTAAGAAATCAGCAATAAATGTATAACAGAACTTATTAAATTCTTCTCTGTTTCCTTGTGGTAATCCAAGTTTTGGTCTGATAGATCTTCCCCATGTAGTTAAGAATATATTATAATAGAACAGTGCTGTAATTCTTGCAGCTAAAAGTATTAAAACCATACTAAAAAGAATAACAGAACCTGCTTTTATATATTCCCAATATACTTTAAATGAAACTTTTCCAATTTCTCTTACCTCTTCTCTTATTTTTGTGTTACAACCATCTCCAGAAAGAACTTCACCATTTTCTTCATTATTCTCACTCTTTTTTGATGAAAGAGTTTTAATAAATTGAGATGCTTCAAGATTACTATTCTTTAACTCTTCTAAACTTCCATTAAATGCAAGTTTATTACCATCAATTACAAGAATTCTATCTGCTTTCTCAATGAAGTATGTTTGATTAGTTACTATAACTCTAGTTTTTCCTTCAAGACTCTTCTTAATTGCATTTTCAAATATATAAGTTCCAACATGGAAATCAACAGCAGATAAAGGATCATCCAGAAGCATTATATCATGTGCATTATATAATGAACGAGCTAATGCAATTCTTTGTCTCTGACCTCCAGATAAATTAGATCCTTTTTCAGCAACAACATATTGATCTCCTCCAACTAAATTATCAATATCAGAAGTTAAACAAGCATCTTTTATTGCTTGTTTATATTTTTCTTTATTATAAGGAGCTAAGAAACATATATTTTCTCTTACAGTTGTATTCATTAACCAAGCAGATTGAGATGAATAAGTAATTTTACCATTAAGATAAGATTCTCCTTTTTTCTTTTCTAATTCATTTAAAAGTGATAATAAAAATGATGATTTTCCACTTCCAACACTTCCTAAAACACATACAAGTTCTCCTTTTTTAATTTTAAGTTCATCACAAGCAAATGCAGTTTCTCCATCAGGGAAAATATAATTAACATCAGTCATTTCTATTGCATTTTCTGATTCTTTATTAACAACTTGAATTGGTTGTAATTCTGGTTTTAGTAAGAATCTCTTAATTCTTCCTAGAGACACAATGATTGTTGTAGAACATGTAGCCATTAACCCAACAGTCCTAACAGGAATTCTAATTGAATTGAAAAGTGCAATTGTTGTAATCACACGAGCTAATTGCATTTCAGATGATGATAATACCATAGTAACAAATAATGCAATAGACATAGATGATCCAATTTCAATTGTTAAAGTAAAAAAAGAACATCTAAAGAATCCAACAAGAAAAACAAATAATAATTCCCAAAGTCTTTTCTTTCCAATTCTATTTTCTATAGTCTTTTCCCAATTATTATATTTAATGAACTTAATATTATGAAGAATCTCTCCCATAAAAGATACTCTTTTATCCTTCATATATACAAATTTACTGAAAAATTTACCATTTAAAAATCCAAATCCAATATTTAGTAGTAAGAATACAATAAAAACAATTAGTGGAACATAGACCCATTTACCCATATTAATATAAATTAAAACAAATAGAACAATAAACATTACTGGAGATGCTAAACCAAAAAACACCATCTCTACATTCCCTATAAATACTGGTGCATCATTTGCCATTAAATTAACAAATCTTCCAGGCTCTTCTATTCCTGAAGCATTTAATTTTAATGCCTTATCATAAATAAGACCAATAAGACCATTTCTTATTCGAACTGCCAAAACAAAAAGCCATTTTTTACCAAATTCTTGAGTAAAACAAGAGATTAATTGAAAGATAATTGTTAAAAGAATAAATAATAATCCAATTTTGAGAGTCCCTTGTGGATTATTAATCCATTTAATAACATATTGAAGCATAAGTGGAAATGCAAGTGCAATCAATTCATAAGTAACTATAGTAATATAACACAATAAAAACATTTTCCATTCTAATTTAAATATAACTAAAAATAAACTAGGATGTTTAGAATGAGATTCTTTTTCCCATTTTTCTTTCATATTTTCTTCATATTTTTCATATTCAAGTGTTTTTGGTAAAGAAGATAAATCAGGTATTCTTAAATTTCCTTTTCTTCCCTTTAATAATTGATGCATAGTTTGTCTAAAAAATAATGTCCTAAAGAATTTAATAATAGAATTTGGGGTTTTATCGTATTTAATCACATCATCAGTTTCAAAAAGACCATCATCATGGGAACTAGTATCTTGTTCTTCTAACTCAATTTCATTAGCATTAAATGTGACATTTTTCTCAGACATAACGAATAAGTGATACTCTTAGATTAAAACCCTTATATACTAATATCTACTTTCAAAAAAAATTCTCAGAAAAAGATAAATCTATTCAAACCTAACCAACTGCACTCAAAAACTACTACTAAAAATAAGAACCTATCTTCTTCTTGATATAAAACTCCATTTCTTTTTCTTTACCCTTTAAAATTTTATTCTATGACTTATTTTCTAAATTTCTTAAGACCTTTTTAGTAAATATCTTATTTTTTAATAACTATTTTTGAACAATTAAATTCTAATTAATTCTATTTTGTACCTGAAGTGTAAAAAAGATCAATAATGTAAACAATAGGAATTTTCAACAAAATTTGAATTCTTCCCCATAACTTTTTCAATAAAATGAAAATCAGTTCTGATCTCATATTCACTTTTTGAACAAAGAAATACTTTTATTATTTCATAAAATAACTGCAACAATAATTAAACGTATTTTTTAATTCATTTTTTCAAAAAAAAATTATTTTCTTTCTTTGAAAAATCATTTAAACTACTTTAAAGAAACTTTCTTTACCAATAATTTTTTGAATAAAAAAACAAAGTAAATAAAAATAAAGCTATCACGTAAAGAATTTCCGAGCTATTATTAACAAGTATCCCCAAAACATTGTTTAATTCCCTCAGTATCAATACACTGAATTAAATTATCTATTCCATAATTAAAATAAAAGAAAATGAGTAAAGTATTATAATATTTTCTTTTTCCAAGAAAATAGAAAGAACTAATTTTTAGCTTTAAAATAAAAGAGAGAAAAAAAATAATTATATTTTTAAAGTTTTATAATAAAACAATACACAAACAATCTAATAAAAATAAAAAAGGAAACTATAATTCTAACAAAAACACAAATAAAACAATGAAACAAGTAAAACAAAAGGTTTTTTGTCACTTTTTAGTGAAATGTAATAGTAATAAATTTTGTGTTATTTATTAAAGTCCTTTTTAGATGGCTGGTCTAAAAAACTATTTCTCAAATAGAGGAATTTATTGAAAATAAATAAAAAAGGTCAATTAATGGATATATCCGCTATTGAATTTTTTTCATATTGAGAAGTGACTACTTCAGCTTCTTTAACACGTTCTTTTTCTTGTCTTAGAGCTAAATTTGTTGAAAATAATATCAAAATGATTAAAAAAAAATGATTTATTTTGTTCTGATTTTATAGTTAAAAACAAAAAATAAAACCAGAAATTTCTTTTGACTTGGAAAAGTTAAAAACGAAATTGTTAAATACGATTTTGTTGATTGCATTAAATTAACAATGCTTTAATGTAACCAGGGGTATCCGGATCTCCAACATGTAAACAGGTATATCTTATTGTATCAAGTAAAGAATTAATTGCTTCTGAGTAATCAGCATTATCAGCAAAATTTTTCAATTGCATAATGCAATCTTTAACCTAAACAATAAATCCCCTCTTGTCGAGCAATAATAATTAAACTTGAAAAATGAAACAAACTTTAATAGGTGATTTTTTATGGAAAGAACCTAATTCAGAGATATTATCATTTAAGATGATACAACCAGTCATAACTCTTAGACAGAATAGGTTAGTTTCGTTATTATCAAAGATTCCTTTTTGAACCATGTCATTACATACATTTGCAAACAATATTAAAATTTCACTAAAAGAAGGGTTAATTGCACCATTTTGAACACCTTTAATGATTGTCACTAAATGTGCCATCATTGGTGATGGATTAGCGATAAACATAGAAATTCTATTTGCAACTTCATCAGGAATTTTTAATTCATCTTCTCTTTTAAATTGTTTCATTCTTGGAAAACTTCTTCTATAATAACTAAAGTCATTTTGAATACCAGGGTTAGTAACTTTTTTATTATCAAAAGCTAATACAAAATCAAGAATGACACCAAGTTGTTTGCATAATGCTTGTTTATCTGTTAATGTAGCTTTAGCGTCATCACAAGATAATTCAGTAACTAACTTTGGAAATTCTGTTTCTATAAAAATGAGTATTAACCGCTTAATCTTTATTTTGAAATCAAAGCTCTTCTCCTTATTACTTTGATATTTGTAACTTCTTACTCACTCATGTTCAATAAATAAAAATTAAAGAACAACAAACCTAACAAAACAGCAAATTGATAGAACTCATTAATAATATCAGCTTGAGAAGAAATTACTTTCCATGCTTCTTCTTCTGGTTGACTCATACCACTTAAATTATCAGATCCTGTTCTTGCAGAAATTGCTTTTCGAATTAAATCATCTTGTCCATGATAATTTGTGACTTTATTTAAAACATCATCTTTTCTTCTCAACATAATATCAATATCATTCCAAATTTTTAGCTCAGCTTCTGATGGGCTAACGTCTATTCTGTTATTATTTTTTAATTTCTTTATTAGCTTCAAAATTAATTAAAACTTTTTTCTTCCAGAGCCATTTAAATAATTAAGTTGTGAAGAAAACGAACTTTCAAAATCAATTGTAATTTGTTCACCTGTTGCACCACCTCGAAAAAGTGCTAAAATCTGTCCCATAGCCTTTACTGATTTTTAAGTTCAAAGATTTTTGATTTTAGAAAAATATCTGTTTTTAGATTTTTTTATTTTCTTTTTTTCCTTTTATTTAAATTATTTAAAAATAATTTTTCAACGGTAGAAGACATCATTTATCATATCATATTATTTACTTTATCTCTCTGATATTACAATTATTTCTTGTTAAAAAAAATGTGTACAGTAACAAACACAAATACCAAAGGAGTGTTTGGTATGACCAAATCAATACAATAAATAACTTGACCCATCAAAAACTGAATTAATAATGTATAAAATAATAGTGTTATATTTGACAAATAAAAAAAATTCTTTGAGTGTTATTGAACATTATGTCGTTTCATAGCATTTACAAACCCCGTTAGAAAACGATGGCTACTTCTACAAACTAAGTGGTAGACTAATAAAAATACTATTAAGGTCATATTCCGATATCTTTTATGTTTGATGCTGGAAAGTTTGATTAAAAAATTTATGAAAATGGTTATATAAATCAAAAAAAAAATAAATAAATAACAAAAAAGTAGTGAGTTTGTTGGATTAATTGTTGTTATAGTTAATTTTGTTGGTAACAATAATTCTATCTATCTTCATCTCTCAATATAAATAAATGGTAAACCTATGTTGCACTAAAACTCTGTTACTAAGAATAAATTATTATAAGAATATTTATCGATTTAATCTACAATTTCATTTACTATGACAAAGTGGAAGAAAGAAAATAGGGAATAAAGTTTGTAAATATATTTTCATTTTAACGTTTAATTTTCATTGAGTGAAAAAGGTTATAATTATTTAAATTACAAGGAACAAGTATTGTTTTTCTAAATTAAAATAGGAATATAATAAAGAAGAATTTTAAAAATGACATACAGAAGAATAAGTTAAAGAATAATAACACAAATTATCAAATTATAGACATTGTTTATATTTCTGATATGTTAGTATTTTATTTATAAAGATTAAATTTATGATATTTGTTATGTATTAATGAGTTGAAATAATTAAAGTTAGTTAATCGAATATTGATTTTTGATAAAACGAGAGAATACCTGATAATTGAAGACAATATTAAATAAGTAAATGTTATATGAAAGAAGTTATATTATTTAATAATTCATAATAATATTTTTCACTAGAATGTTAATTAAAATATACAATATTAAATCATTTATAAATTCTTATTTTACTTCTTCTTAACCATATATTTTTATTGTTATTGAATAATTATTCAAATGTATTGATTTTGTTTAAATGACAAGCTACCTAGTTTCTCTATTTTATTAAAAAAAAAAGATTAAAAAAGATGTAATTTAATCAAAGTCTATTTCTTTCAATAATGCTAAACAAAAATGTAACAATTCAATTGAGTATTTCAATAATTAAACTATTTAAATTTAATAAATACAAATGGTACTGCTTTTTTTGTAATATTTCTTCTTGATTTTTGACAAACAAGGTTCTTTTTTGTTATCTTCAATTTTTTTTTCGATCATTAGATATTAGATTATTTCACTTCTTTATTCATTTTTGAATAGAAACTTAGAATGACTATCATTAACTTATGTTTTTATTTTAATTATGTTTTATAGATAATAATATTAGATGATTCTAACTACAGAAAGAGTATGTTTTCTAATAAATGAATTCTAAAATCATTTCTTTTTTATTAACTTCTTCTTCTGATAAAATCCATTATATTATGATATCTTGTTGAGTATTTCAAATCTTAAACAATTTATAAAATATTTTTGTTAGTTTCGTAAATTTAAGAACAGGAGGTGATAAAATAATACAAAAGACTGAAAGCTTTTTCACTCAAAATTGTTTTTTTTTACAACACAATCAAATGCTGTTTTTAACGTTTGTGATGAATCACTTTTTGTGATGTGATATAATAAAAATAACATAAATTCTATTTTATAAAAGAAGATAAACACTATTTCATTATAATAGAAATTAACTTGCTTGATCTGTCAATACCAATACTTCAATTATTCTCCTAAATAAATATTTATACATATATTGTTTTTATTTCATTTCACTAATTCCCATGAACAAATAATAATAAAATCTAATATTCATTAATATTATTTACTACTACATATAATGAATTTAACATTTTATTTGATTAAAGAAAAATAATTCTGTAATTTCTTTAGTAGAGGAAAGAAAGAATTACAGATGATAAAACAAGATAATGCTTAGAATTTCTATTCCAAAATAGCATAATCTCAAACTAAAAAATAACAACAAAATCAATAATAGTCAGTTAGAGAAAAAAAAGCTCATTTAAATTACTATTGTTAATGAATGTTTTATGGAAATTTATTTATTATGTTGTTAGATAAATCTTTCATGTTCAACAGAAAAAAAGATTCAAAAAAGAACTATAAAAAATAATTTAATGATTTGTGTAGTACTTCTAGTCTATTTAA